AATACCTCCGATTTTGCAATGGGTAAATTGATCTTGAAACCTCTTAAAGAAAAGGGACATCAGTTTGTTCACATGGATACAATAGTAAGTATGCCTTTTTTCTGTTTATATGGTGGACTGTGTGTATGCTTAGAAAGGTTAAAAGTTGCATATAAAGTTGACAGATTTGTGGGTTTTTTTTCCTGTCTTAAAATACAAATAAATACAGGAAATATTAAATAATCGTTTGAGTTATGAAAATCAAATAGAAATTAGCTCAAGTAGTTCAAGTGCTTTGTATGCACACTGCCTTGCTTTCTTTGATATAAAGCCTGTATTTCTATGCTTGTAGTATTTGGAACGTGTGAGCAAAATAGAAGTATAAAAAAAGAAAAATAAACAAAAGGAAAATAGTATTTTCTGCTTTTTAAGTTGTGCAACTTTTTAACAGAGGTGGGGAAAAGCAGTTGCAGCTGTGCTTATTACTTTAGTTCATTACTTGTTTATTTATTTACCTTCATTTGCAAGTGTTTTTTGGAAAACCGAAGAGCTTATTTTCTCGAATAGTTTTCTTAAATATTTGAAAATCACTGCTAATCTTTGAACCCTTTGCTTATATTAAGGCTTTCCATATTCTCAAAGGCAAAATCGTTCTTACCCTGCATAAGACGTCATATTATCTGACTGCAGGGGACTTTTTTTATGTTCCAGCAGGTAAGTATGTGTGTTTCACAAACTTTGTTGGAAACGGAACAGACTGAATTAGCAGGCTAGGAGTTTAAACTGAATAGAACGGTTGTTCCAAAGGATTTTGAGTAGGGAATGGAAAGAACAGGATTTTGAAAGGAGGATTTGGACCCAACACTGGACATAGGCTGGTGACCTAACGTTTGAAGGCAGTTATGCAACAGTGCCTGTTCTTTTGTGGGGTTCTCTTCAAACTTTTTGATTACATAATCCAGTGACAAGTCCAGTGTTACATTCCTTTCTGATACTCTTTCTATCCCAAAATACAATGTTTGTGAAGCTTCACACAGAGCTTAATACAGTGGTAATTAATATGACTGTTTTGGTCTTCATCTTTTAATAGTTTTCTCTATAAAATTATCAAAATCCAATCACTGGATCATTTGGGATATCTATTATGCTCTGTGCTTGATCTACAGAAGGTGCAGCCTATGTGTGGAAAGGGCTATAACTTTATACTGCTTAAGAATTATTAGGTACCTCTGACTTTTCCTTCTTGAATTGGAAGTTGAAGGAATTTCATGAGAGAAGCTATCTTTCATGTGTAGGACTGAAATCAGGAGAATTTTAGGTAGTTCTGAAAGAGGCCCTAGATGTAGGTTTACTACATGTTTTCACTGCGAAATGCAGAGAACTCGGGTCTAAGGGTGGCATCCTAAAATAAGGGCTCTTCTTCCCTATTTGTTAAAATATATGAAATAATGAAAAATGCTTTTAGGTGTAAAACTCAAAAATTGTTAATCGCTTCTAAATCAAACTTTTCTTTGTAGGAAATGGATATAACATACGTAATATTCTGAACGAAGAAAGCATTCTTCTGTTCACACAAGTGAAGAAAAATAGGTAAAGAACTTTGCATATAAAAGTTTGTTAAAATATTTTTCAAGCTTTTGTATAATAGATTTTTTCACGGATTCTTTTTATATAAAAAGAGTTTGTCCAGCTGAACACTACAAATTAACTCAGAGCAGGTGAATGTAAAAAATGATTTAAACAGTTCAGAAATTTACTGAAATTACATAATGAGAGAACTTACTCTGGGTCTGATACTGCTGTTTTTTCATCCAAAAATAAAAACGTATACTTACAGAATTCACAAGTAAAAGATATTGTTCTTCCAAATTGTATTTATATGCTTAACAACTCCAAAGATGTTTAGCATTTGAGTAAGTTTTGACATCTTCAGATAACTTCTGGTAGACTTAAACTGTGTCTAGTACAAACCTATCAGAATAATCTCTGTTTAAATGCAGGATCACTCCCATATTGGGTGGTCATGGATATTTTTTTTAACATGCACTTTCGAGCTTTTATTCCTATTATCAGGGCATGTATAGGCTGACTTTGGAAATACTGATCAGTGGAAGTTGTGTAACTTGTATGTATTTATGGCTGTCATGCTTAGCTCTGAGAAGGCAATACAAAGGAATACACTAGACACCATTCAGTTCATCCTTTGCCTCGATACAACTTATTTGCTGTTTGCTGCCTCTAGTTTAGTAGGCAGTTTAACATGAAATTTTAAAGATGTCGTTCAGTTGCAGCTAATGATAATTTGGTGTTGGCAGGTTTTTTTTTTTTTGAATTCTGGGCTTGCGTTGGTCTCTTCAAGGTCATCTAGATTCATATATTGTCCCTTCTTTGGAGCCATACTAGCTACCAGATGGGCGCACATGCTGTCTCCCCTGCTTGAAGGAATCCCACCTGGGAAAATGCTCAGTGGATAAGTCTTTCCACTCCTCTGGCCTGTAGAGGAGAAACGTGCCAGTACAGGGCCAGCACTGCACCAGAGATCATTATTCCTCTCTCACGTGCGTCAGCAGTCAGGGCACGGATGTGATCTCTGAGCCCAAGAGCTCACTGGCGACCCGAAGCACCGCTTGTCTTCCACAAATACCCTCCTTGCTTTATCCCACCATGAGAGAAGCCTCGCTGCGAGGCCTTGCAAAGGAGTGTACCTTTGCTATCCCTTCACTTTGCAGGGGTGGAGAGTAGGGTGACTTTGGAGAGGAGCTGGTGAACACAATAGCTTACAGTTCAGATGGAAAGCCTGGGTGTGTGTTGCTACGGAAGTCCGTGCAGCTTGGCCCTTCTCAGCAGCACTGCACACAGGTAGGTCCAGGTTGTATCAGCCTTGCTGTATCCTACCCCAGTCTGTCTTCCCCCGCTGCACTATACTGCAGCTTGGCAGCAACCTTTCAAGTGGAATTCTGTTGGTTCATGAGGATATAATGAAAAATGAAAAGATATCCTTGAGAGGCAGAAAAGAATTAAAAACATGCCGATTTTTGCCTAGTTTATCTATAGAACAATTTCAGTATTTACCATTAGATGGGGCTCTAAGCACACCTTAAAAACATTTGTGCTGAAGCAGGCACCCATATTTAATAGGGTTTGACTTTTAAAAGGGAGGAAGAAGCATCTGTTACAGATGGAGATAAAAATTCAGTTGAATCCTGTTGCCAGTAAATGTAAATCATTTTCCATGCACATAAGGACTAGACATTTTACCTTGCGAATTTATTTGTTGTACCAGTTGTAGCCATTCGCTTGAAACTTCCAAAATACGAGCACACAGTGTGTAAGGATTTGAACTGAGCTAGCTGGCTTACCTTGGCCTGGGTTGAATTCTGTTTTTTTTTTTTCAGCTTGGCATTTGTGCAAAACTCACTTCCCTGGTTTTAGCCTGAATGTCATGTGAGCAGGTGCAGGACAGATCCTAATTTCTGTGAAGTTCTGTTGTGAGTCTGAGTTTCATTATTCCTAAGGGTGCTGTGTTCTACAGCATAAATGGTGGCAAACAAGAATTGGCCATTAGTCAGAGCACTAGGTTTCATTTTTGTTTTGTTGTGGCTTCTGCTTCCTGTATTTTAGAGTCTATCAGGCTGTTAGTAGTCATGGGGGACCTTTGGTGGTTTAAATTTTTATTTTACAAAGTGGAATTCTGTAGAAGACAAAAGTCTGGCAGGTATTTCTCTGACAGCTGAGAAATTGTCTTTCATAAATCCCTTTCTACTCCTTGCCCAAGATGTGATTCTTCTTGCATATTTTCTACTGTGTTGAGTAATCTAATTTCCTCAGCCGATTAATGATGATTTTGCCTACAAATGTGACTTTTAAAAATGCTAAGATAATAGCCCATGCACATTGTTTTGTGTCCCACAGCTTAAATATATATCCTTAGCATTTACATAATGTCATTTGCATGGTGTGAGTTTGTAATACATCTTTTAGGTTTCTTCATAGACTACAGTGTCATATATATTCGGTGCAGATGGCATAACTTTTTGCTTATATTCAGTGTAAATATATGCTTGTGTTTAAAATTTGCCTCTAGTGTTTATCATAATAAATACTTTAAAAGAGCTTTACTGACAATTATTCGCCTAAATGTAAAAGTGTGATTTTCAAAGGCTTTGAGAAAAAAAAAAGACTCTGCTGATTAGCAGGTTCTTTTGAAAATGGAGTTTCATTTGGCCAGAAAGCTGTTCCTGTTTTACTGAACAAGGGTTTTCGCAGTTTAGAGCAGCAGAAGAATGATTGCAAATGGGTCAGATCTGTGTGCACGTACATATTTATACAACTTAAAAAATGGCAGAATGTGAGCTGAGTAATTAAAGAAAAATGAACAGTGCAAATAAAACAATCTGGGGCATTTGTACAATTCTTTCTCTTTTTCAAATACATAACTCAGTTATCTGCAGATGATTTTAAATCCACATTGGGGAAATTAATAAACCTAAGGAGCTATATTTTCATTTTAATAACAGATGAAAGGCATGAAAAAAATCAGCATGAAAAGAAAATCTTATTTATATTTCTACTGATGCAGACTCTGTCTATGGTGTATTGTAATACCAAATTTGTTCTAAGTGGTGATTGACTGCAGATAATATATCTAACTGAACGGTAGAGAACCTGCTTCTTGGCAGCTATTGTAAGAGAGTATCTTACTCCTCCCAAACTGGTGCATCAGCTCTTTGGAATATCCCGTCACTTCATGGCGTTCATGAATTTAAGCCTACTCAGGCATTCCTCTGGTTGCATGTGAAAGCCTATTTTAGGATTTGACAATAAATTTGATTATTGATATTCAGTTCTAAGATTAGAACATTATTTGATCATCAGGGAAAAGAGCTGGCTAGCCAACTGCTTATTGGGGAAAATCTGTGTTAATGAAATGCCTGCCAAAATCTTCTGTATTATTGAGTTCATCCACAAAACTTGTCTTCCTTGTTTTGCTGGATTTAAATTGCTCTGCCTGAGTAAGGGTTTGCAAAACGTTGTAAAGCCACATTTGCTTTACACCTGTTAAGTACTTTTCTTATGTTGGATACCCAAGGAGGGCAATGAATGAAACATGAGCTTAAAAGAAGGAAACTGTAGGTTCCTAAAAGAAGGAAACAATAGGTAAGGACTTTAAAAGCTTAAGTTTGAAGAACAGTAATGTTCATGATAATTACTTGAGAAGTTGATAGGATAGCTGGTAACACAAATTATATTATGTTATTTCATTTAGCTCATCCTGTTTCTTGGTTACAGGTTTTAGAAGTTGTTTTTTTTCCCACTCCTTTTAGTATCACTAGTAGAAATGAAAATTGATCAAGACTGCAGGTGTATGATAAAAAGTGGTTTGGGTGTCGATTGGCATTGACACGCCATAAAGAGCAATTGGAAACAAGCAATATGGTGTGTTAACATAATGCACAACAACAGTATTTGTAGTGTCCTGGGGTCAGAAGATGTAGCAGACTGGGTTGTTTCGGTGGCACATGGAATTTTAATGAAGTTCAATGACTTCTTGAAGAACTGAACATGGTGTTTGGATGGTGAGGGTTAGCCTTCACAGTGTTAGTGCCATCAGAGCACAGCTGTCTGTGTTGGCAGTCCCTTCCTGGGAGTTAAAGAGATGCTACTATCACTTTCATTTAAGGGCATCTGGTAATTCTATATTACCTAAAATGGCAAGATTCAATTGCTGAACATGATCCATTGAAAGAGAGGCCTGAACTTAATTAATTCAATCCTTTTTTTCATGTTAACATCATTTCTGTGTTGTAGAACAGAGTGGGCAATTACAACCTATGGAATTATATATATTTTTTTTCCAAAACACAATTTGAACTTTATGGCTGCCAGTGAGGGGACTCCCTTAGGATACAGTAGCCTGTACACTGAAGAAGCCAAGCACTTCTCTTGTATCTCAGTAAGTGCCAAGTCAGCTCGGAGGCTAATTAATGAAAACAGATTTATAATTAAGTCCAGGAAAGAGGACTAATTAGGTAGCCAGTTTAGGAAAAAGTGCTGAAGGAGGCATCAACCTTAAGGGAAAAGTACGAGACTTGCTGTATTGGCCCATGAAGGGCAATTAAGTGATAATTGCAGAGGCCTTTTTGCAGCCAGCAAATGCTCTCTGACTTTTATTATGGCTGATTTTCTTAATATTGGTGAAAGCGGACGTTGCCCTTTTGAAGAGTTCAGTGTTGCTGCACGCTCTTGAGGTAATTCATAGGTAGAGCGTAGAGGTCGCTACATGAGCGCATGAGGACAAGCTGCCAGACTGGAACAGCATTTCGGCTAGCGAGCTCCTCCAACCCGGGCTTTTAAACACAAAGTCGTGCTGAATGTTTGCTTTATTCACCTCTTCTCTTTGTGGCTTACACATTCCAACCTTGCCTTCTGTTTAACCCTTCAAGCAAATCCCGTTGAGTAAGTTGTCACATTAGAATTTAGCATAGTCTTATTTTATGTGGTTGTTAAACCCAGTTAAATTCACAGCAATCACGACCTTGTTCATAAAACGGCTTCTCTTGCTTACATTTGACACTCACTCTTGGTAACACTCTTTTGTTTTGTGGTGGGAGAAAGGGAGGGGGGAGAATGCTAGCAGTAAAGTCCTTCTGTTCTCCTGCAAATAACTTAGTTTCTCTTCTGAACAGTACTGTAAGCTTATATTTGTTTCAGCGCAAGGCTCATCTCTCCAGTGAGATCCTGGTGGTAGCATATGACATGCATCCTTACATGTTTCCCTGGATCCAAGTGCGGTAATGAAGTAAATTTTTAACTAATTGGATGCATGTGCTAATTACTTAGATATCCAACCTTTTTGGCACTCATACAGTATTTGAATTATTTTAGGAGTTATGGAGAGAGGATCCACTTTTCTATTACATAAATGTGTATTGTAATTGCTTTTTCTTCATGAACGTGCACATTCACATGTGGCCAATGAGCTGCTTAGTGTTCTGCCATTTGAACTGGCAATTTTCTCCTCGCAGGATCTGTTGAAGCTGCATCTTTTCCCTTGGAGGGAGCCATGTGAAGAGGCTTTCACCTGCCACTGCTTCAGTTCCTCTCAGCTGTCTTACTTAATTTTAATATTTGCTCCTACATTTTTTTTTGCCTTGCTGCTTAAATATCTTGCTGATTTGGGGTTTCATTGCCCTCATCAAAGATTCCTTTTTTCTTTCTTCGTGCCACTGGTGAAGACTGTTTAATTGTTTGCAAGCCAGTTGCAAATATTTGAATTCTTTCAGAGGTTTTCTTGGGCCTAAAAGTTCAATGGTTACCTCTCTGTAAAGCTTCATACAAGGTTTAGTAAAGCTCCCATTTCTCTTGTTCAGAGATGCAATGCAAAACTTCCTTTGGATTCTATTCTTTGAAAGACTCTAATATAGTTTTAATCCCAGGAAGGCTGGCCTAAGACATCTCTAGAAATATGTTTATCATCGTCATCATCTTTGTTTTTTTTCCAGATTGCAGGAGCAGAACTGAGAGCACTTCAGGCCCACAGGGTTGCCCTCGAGTATCATCCATCTGTTGAGTCTGGCTCTGCAGTGCTGAAAAGCTCCTTTCCAGCACCATCCCACCTGGCTAAGCTTAACGTAGCACATCAGAAGATTGTGTGTTTTGCCACCCTGATAGCACTAATTGAGCATGCGGGTGATTTCTTTCGTCTTGATGCAATCTTGCTGTGGCTTTGCCGCCAGTTGGGTGCCGAGACATACCCTGTCATTTGATCTAGATGTTCACCTGCTCTTATACCTTCACCCCCGTTGCCGGGGCCATGCTGCTTGGCATTCCCTGGTTTTGGCACAGAGGCCTAGCATGGAGATACGTGCCCATCACTGCAGATTTGCATGCGTGCACATACACCCCGTGCTGCCTGAGTTTTCTTTACAGACAGATACATTTCCTCAGAATCTCCCTTTTTGGGGGGCCCCGGAATGGACGAGATCTTCTCTTCTGTTCAAGATTCCCAGATAACCCTTAACTCTTGAAATCTTTCTACTTGCTGCCTGGGGAGAAGCAGTTGCTTGATACCTCCTATCATCTTGCTCAGTACACAGAATTGTCAGTTCTGGTGCCTTTTTCTTCTTATTCCCTAAGTACCCATCAAGATCTTAACAATCTTGGTCATGCAGTAGA